AGACAGACAGACAGACAGACAGACAGACAGACAGACAGACAGACAGATAGATAGATAGATAGATAGATAGATAGATAGATAGATAGATAGATAGATAGATAGATAGATAGATAGATAGATAGATAGATAGATAGATAGATAGATAGATAGATAATTAATTAATTAATTAATTAATGTATACTTTATTGTCCCCAAGGGGAAATTTGTCTTGGACATTGCGTGCTAAACAAAGCTTCTTCCGCAACTAAGTACAACAATAAAATCATGTGAGCACCACAAAAAAAAAAAAAAAACATAAAAAAAACACATATTGCTCAATAAAAACACACAATTCAATAAAAAACACATATTGCACATTCTCACATTCCAGCAAGTAAACAAAACAACAAATCAGACCAGTTCATCAGCAGCATGATGGAGACTGTATGCCTACTTTATTTAACAATCTGATTGATATAATAACAAATAAAATAAATACATTTTTTAATCTGTTAAGTCTACAAGCAGGGATTCTAAAGCTTTTGTCAGATGGTAACAGTTCATATTGTGAGTTGAGGATGTGAATGGGGTCGGACAGTACGCGCTGAGCAAGTCTGAGGACAGACTCATGATGACTGCAGGGAGGGCTGATCGGTCCGTCCTATCACCTTCTTGACAGGAACAGCTTCAGGTGAGGACAGCAGCTGATGAGGAGGAGTGCAGGTCATCGATACCTTCAGCCAGTTTACACTTTAATCTGAAAACGTGAGTCTTGCAGTGAGAAAAACAATCTTTCATCTTCGTTAGTTACTTGAAACTTCTACTTTGTTTCTAACAAAAATTGAAACAGAGCAAACAAGTTTTCTTTGCTCAGGAGTAAACGGAGTCTGACATCAGACGAACACATCAGGATGGGGACCAAAATGAACTGCCAGGGTGTCACACAAAGAAACTGTATGTGAGCTCTCAGCTCCCAGAAGGGTTTTTGAGAACTCACATATTACGACTTCCCTCTGAAGCAGACAGCTCAAAACATTTACACGCAGGTGTGTCTGAATGAAAAAATATTTTATGAAAAACAGAACAGATAAGTTTGTTAAAACACAATATCTCACATGATTTCATTATAACGATTGAAAACAAAAATCAACATTATGTATGTTCACACTTGTTACAATCAAATACAACAAACATCATTAATGATTTTTTTTTTTTTTTTTGCTTAAAAGCTAAAGAAAAGGGTAAACATTAGTCAGACTGTAGCAGACTCTGAGTCCAAGGTCAGTGAATGTGTGAACACATCAAGTCAAAAGTAACTTTAAAGAAAACAGTTCATGGTGAGTGGACAACCCAGGGGTCAGAGGTCATAATCAGGGGAGCACATCTTCACGCTACAGATGTAAATCTACAGATTACCTTTTGAGACCAAACCAGTTCAAGATGACCACCCCTGCCAGTTGACTATTATGACCATAACTCTGTCAGTTTATAGCTGTCCAGCATATCAGTAATCTGAGACTTACTCCAAAAGTTATTTAATCACTACTGTACTTTCTGAGAGTTCAATAAAATCCGCTCTCTGGTTCAACAGACCCACACATTTACATGATCACCCTTCTAATCAACGGCAATGTTTATGGTTTCATTTTTCCTTTCAAGAATTAAGATTTTATTTAATTGTTGTTGTTCTTAAACCACGTGTGCGCACATCTGGTCGATGAGTCCAAAAATCTGTGTGAACGACCTGTGTGTGGAGGGGTGGGCTGGGGGTGTCATTGATCTACAGAGGTGTGATAACACACACTGACCCACCCAGCTCAGTCTGATTGGTGGCGGGACGACCCGCAGCTGAAGGTGGTAACCTCGGCTCCGGAGCGCAGCGCTCAGTGCACCGAGCTCCACCCGACGCACGCGCCATGCCCCGCTTCACCGTCCACATCCGAGACGAGTGGCTGGCGGTGCCCTGCCGGGACACGTCCAACACCATCCAGTGGCTCGGCCAGGAAGCGCTGAGGCGCTACATCAAGAACAAACCGGACAACGGAGGCATCAAGTCTGTGAAGGAGACGCGCTTCCTCGTGCGCAGGTGCCAGGGTTTGTGCTTGTTGGACGCGGATGACACCATCGAGGATGTGCTGGATGATAATGACTTTGTCGAGCTCGGTAAAGTCTGTTTGCCTGCATGCATTCCAAAAACAAGTTTTGACATTTGTTGTGCGTAATGGCGCGCAGTGCCTCAAGTATGTAAACGTGAAATGAATTGATCTGCTTTCAGCTATCGACGGAGACACCATGTCTTCTGACTTCATCCCATGTGAGCCTGGAGTCTCTCACCTGTATCCTCTAACTGTTCAGTATACTCGTGCAGAACAGATGATTAAAATCAAAACTAAACAAAACGACACATTTAATATGATGAAGCAAAATAAACTGGATGAAATGTGGTCTTAACAAAACTCCATAAAACAGAACAGCTGCCTACAAGGAACCTGAAGCAGTAAGTGCATTTTTCTCTTGAGTTATTAAACATCATGTGAAATTCTCAGGTTTTATTGTGACATGGGTTTCCTTGTGCAGTTCATTTGCCTGGATGGCAACAGCCTGACATCCACAGATCTGGTTGACCTAGGAAGAGGACTCTATAAGATAAAAGTAATGATCAATGCACAGTGATTTTTTTCTGTTAGTGTGTTGAACTACAGTATCTGTGGTAATATTTGACGTAAAGTAATCCTTTCCATTTGCCAATGTTTTAGCTGACTTCGGAGGCAGAGAGAAAAGTTGTGCAATCGCGGGAACTTTTGGACACAATTGTCAAAGAAAACAAAGGTTAAAGATACGTTTACGGGTTCATCCATTGCTAGAAAACAGCTGCTGCAAAATGCCAGTATCACACACGCATCATGTTTTCAGTTTGTCGTGTCTGTTCTTCCTGCAGTTGTCTATGGAATCACCACAGGTTTTGGTAAATTTGCGCGAACTGTCATTCCTGTCAGCAAGCTCAAGTAAAAGCCACATTTTATGTTCTAAATATGATTTATGTGCCCGTTGGAGAATGAGTGACCCGATAACTGACACACTTTTTGTTTCACAGAGAGCTCCAAGAAAACTTGGTGCGGTCACACTCTGCAGGTAATAAACAGCCGTGCAAAGCTCACTTCACCATCTCGAAGCTCTCCGTGTTGTAGTTGTCGTATTTGTTGCAGGTTTGGGAAACCCGCTGAGCCCTGAGAGGACCCGCATGCTGCTCGCTCTGAGGATCAACGTCTTGGCCAAAGGACACAGTGGAGTTTCTCTGGAAACCCTTCATGCCATGATACAAGCCTTCAACTGTGAGCTTCGAGTAGCCTGATCAACCTCAGTTCACTGATATGACACGACGGTTTCAGTCAACTGATTACCTCCCCTAGAGCTGGGTAGCTGGCAGTCATGTGACCAAATCCTTGTTTTTATCTCACTTAACACCCCTGCAGCGTCCTGCCTCTCCTTTGTTCCAGAGAAGGGAACGGTGGGTGCCAGTGGGGACCTGGCACCCCTCTCACACCTGGCCCTGGGGCTGATGGGAGAAGGTAAAATGTGGTCCCCAAAGAGCGGATGGGCAGACGCCAAATACGTAAGATCAGAGTGACTTTTCTAAAGCCACAACTTTCATTTTACTACAGGAAACATAGATCTTGTAGTGCACTCAAGAGTGAAAGGTTGCAGGGTCCAACAGGAAAGCATGTTTGTTTTTTGATGACCTTTAACTTTGTACATGTTCTTTTGCTTTTCGTCACTGCTCAGGTCCTGGAGGCCCATGGGCTGAAGCCAGTATCACTCAAACCCAAAGAGGTAACGTCTGAATCCATGCTGCTTTCTTTGCTTTGCACATGTGTCAAACTTAAGGCCCAGCCTTGTTAACATCTGGCCCTCAAGATGATCTTTTAAAAACAAAATGTTTTTATTGCTCCTCATTTTATCTAAAGACTGAGCAGTCTTCCTTCAGTGCTGACTCCTCATGACCACTTTGAAGCCAAGAAAAAATAGTTTAAAATGTTTTTCTCCATAATCTTTGATTTTTCATGTGGAAAAATCGACACAGAACATCAATTGAAACTCTTGTTGAGGAACCTGCAACCAAGACAAGATGTCTGGTATCTGACTGGAGTCAATGTATTGACAGAAACTGACTTTGGTTAGAAATACATTTGTAATTTTGGCCCCTTTTTGTGACAGAGTTGGACACCCCTGATCACTTTGATCATAAACCTTTAGAACAATATATGTTTGAACAAAGTTACAGTGAGGAACTTGACAGGTGGAAACGTTGATCAGATGGTTTATTAAAGTGGTAAAAGCAACACTTGTTTTTTTTGTTGCTCATCCCTAAAGTTATGACCCCTTCTGGCAAAATGAGTAACTGAGTAATTTTTCAGTAACAGAGATTTGTCCTCTGCTATAGGTCTATTTTTAAACTTCCAATTATTGTTTTTACAGTTTAAATTCTAATATTTTTCTAATAGTAATATATATGACAACAGCATAATAAAATTACTGAAATTCTGACTTTCTGTAAAGTTTTATTTTAAGATGTTGAGTTTTCTACAACTGTAAAGATGAAAAAATACTCAAAGTTTAAACACATGAACTCAAATACTTCAGTTGTACCGTGAGTGAGCTGTAGTACTTCGTTTCATCACTGTAACAATTATCTAACAAATGTTTATTTATTTTTTAAATACACCCATCTTCGCCCCTGGCGTGCCCACTTAGGGTCTCGCTTTGATCAACGGGACGCAGATGATCACCTCTTTAGGAGCAGAGGCGGTGGAACGAGCCCAGGCGATCGCCAACCAGGCGGATATTATCGCTGCTCTCACCCTGGAGGTGCTGAAGGGGACCACGAAGGCTTTCGACAGCGGTGAGTAGCACGTGTGTGAAGGAGCTACCTCCTAAACTACAGCTTCATCAGTTCTAACTCTTTCTGCTCATTTTACAGACATCCACTCACTGAGACCTCATCCTGGACAGATAGAGGTTGCCCAACGCTTCCGCTCACTGCTGGACTCTGACCACCACCCATCTGAGATCGCAGGTCAGTGAACTGACACAGATAGTGGAGTAAACCCTTTCTGTCTCTCAGTATATGTTTTTCTCAGTATTTGTTTTTCTGTATAACTAGAACATGCTACTGGATGCCTCAACATACTGTACATACATATATATATATATACATATATACATATATATATATATACATATATATACATATATATATATATATATACATATATATATATATATATACATATATATATATATATACATATATATACATATATATACATATATATACATATATATACATATATACATATATATACATATATATATATACACATATACATATATACATACATATATATACATATATACAAAGTACATTATATATATATACATATATGCATATATACATACATATATATACATATATACAAAGTACATTATATATATATACATATATGCATATATACATATACATATATATATACATATACATATATACATATATAAATACATATATATACATACACATATATATACATACACATATATATATATACATACACACATATATATATACATACACACATATATA